ACAGCATTATACAATAATACTGTTCCAGCTTACCTACAAATTCGACTGAAGGACAGACCTCGGGAACGGAACTCGTCCTTCAGCTGGGGACTCCCTGGGCCACCACAAACCCTCTAACATCTGCCAGGGGAAAAATAGCTCTGTGGCTTATATTAAGATACAATCCGGTTTTGAAAACCACCAACCCTTTACCCAGAGGAATGCAGAGGTAAAATGCTGACTTTGAAGTTAAGAGTTTCTGAAGCACGTAATTGCAGTGGAAACTAACAGAAAGCTCCTAATTGAAGACAGCAAGGAAGGCAGGAGGGCTTCACCGAGAGCTGGATTTTTGTCCCAGCAGGTAAATGTTTGAAACGGGAACATCAACATTTTCTATGCCTTTGCAATCCGGACCATTCTTGTAATGTTTAGTGCCACAAATGCAGCAGTTTCTGTACTGAACATTCGCATAGCGTTCTGCTGCTTGTTTACTTGCAAAGCTCGTTAAAGTTTGGGCTGTTCCGTTCCCAAGTTAAAAACGGTTGGGTTGGTAGGCGAGCGTCACCGAGCGATAACCTTGAGTTGGGTACAAAAATATAGTTGTGAGGAAGCACGGGCTTTACAGAATGTAGCTTGTGGGTAGCATTTCCTCACCTCCTGTACTTTTGAGGTTACCCACTGAATCTGATTGGTAGAAAGATTTTTGCTGACTTGCATGTTCACTGCAGTGAGGTGCAGCAATCTGGCTGCTTTAAAAAGAACTGCTCTGTTTATTTTAATGTTATTAGTACCTTGGGTGCACCACCCAATAGCTAAGGTCCTAAGCTAAGGTTAAGACCCTAAAAATATCCAAATTATATAGAACCTAGAATAAAGGTTTGGTTTGGGTTTTTTTTTTTTAAGCCCCAGAATAGAATCATGGAAAAACACAGTGACAGGAGGGGAGAGAATATATTTGGGGCTGAAGATCCCACAGGGTGTCAATTAAAGGATATGGGAATATGAATATCGTTTTTGTATCGTAGCACAGAGTTTTTCAAACTGTGAAAGCTTGATGGGGTTCCATAAAGACTAAGAGCAATTAAAAAAAATGTTCTTTGGAATCCAGGCAGGGACATCCAGGGCAATTTTTCTAAGACCCTGTAGAGGATTGCAAAGGTAATGTTGGTGAAGGAATGCAAGAACCACTAGCAGAACCATTAAGAGAAAATAAAGCAGAAGAAGATTGCTCCGTTCTGGGAAAGGAATGTGAGAAAGAAACTCAAGATTGCCTCAAGATTGGTGTAAGAGGGGCCAGAGGGAGATTCTGGCAGGCTTCCAAGATTCTGTTATTATATCTTATTACAATAAAGTCACATTCCTAGAATCCTTGGACTTTCTGTTTCCTGACCTGGCCTACCTAGAAGGGCTAAGAACAATGGAAGGAGCCTCAACTATACAGGATCCAAATTATGGTTGTCAACCAAGGAAGAAAAGATGAGTGACAGTGGTGAGAGATTCACTGTTAGAGGTCCAGAAGTAGCCATGGGTGGACCAGAGAAATGGGCTATCTTCTTGCTACTTATATCCAGGACCTGGTGGGAAACTTTCCAAGGTTCATCAAATAGACAGATAGCTATTTCTTCATACTTATCCATCTGAGGTCAACCACACTGTTGGAAGAGGACAAACACTTCAGAGAATGGTGGGCAACTATAAAACTCCAGGTAGGAAGGTGAAGGAGATATGTGTGGAAGTGATGCAGTCATCCAGCCTCCCTATTGAAGGTCAAGGGATTAAATGGAAAAGCAGGATCCTGGAATTGAATAACCAGCTAAGAAGTTGGTCTCATCAAGCAAGATTTGAATACTTACGACATTTGCTTAAGGGATATTTGGATGTAGATAAGATGCGCCTCTCAAGAACAGACTGGTTTGCCCTGGGGTTGAGTAAAGCAAATCAGAATCGGCAAGAAGACAGCAGCACCGATAGAGGTAGAAAAGTGCTGGGTGCTAGAAAATGGTGATGTGATAATGGACTTGAAGGAGGCAAGGATACTCAGAAATCCTCAAATCATGGCGATAGGGAGGCCAGCAAATAGTGACTGCTCCAGTCCATGTACATTTATGTGCAGAGCATAAGTAATGAACATGAGAAGATGCTGTACCTTCGAGTAGGCCAGGTTACTCAGGGATTCCCGAAATGCGGCTGTCTTTTTGTTGAGTCTGTTACCAGAATCTTGGAAGCCTCTCCCAACCTTCATGGTCCCTTTTGAAGGCCGCAAGGTCAAGGCAGGGCTGATCGGAATCTCTTTCTCACACTTTTGACTTTCCCAGGGCTAAGCAACTTTCCCACCTCCTTCTCAAAGCCAGAGCTAAATTCTTCTATAGAAGATAAAAGTCCCAACCTAGAAAAACCTGAGGAAAACTAATCTAAGAGGCGTCAGAGAAACCTGATGGAATAAGAGTCAGGACTGGAAAACAGAACTTGAAGGATGCTACTTCAAGGGACAAAGGGACCCAACAAAATGGGAGGCATGTGGCGTTGTACACAAATAACCCTTTGCTTGTGAAGAGATACGTGACCCGCAGTGGCTCTGGTAGTCCTATTAGAAGATTGAAAGAGGTAAGAAACAAAAATGGTATCACTGTGGCCGTTTCCTACAGGCTGTCTACCCAAGCAGAGGACGTGGACAATGCCTTTCTAAATCAATTCATCAAATTCTCAAGTGGCCAAGTGCTAGAGATAAAGGAAAATGTTTTTTAACATTTTGTTAAAAATGTTTGCTTGGGTGTTGGTCCAAAGCCAATAGGGTAATGTTCAACTATATTAACTATAATATCCCACATCAAATCCATAGGCTTGGTGAGATCTGGCTCGGTAGCAGTGAGGTGGATCTGGGGGTCGGGGTCTATCAACTGAATGTGAGCCACGAATACGATGCAGCAGCTAAAAAGGCCAATTCATTCTTGAGCTTCGTTAACAGAAACATTGCATCGGGTTTTCAGGCTGTACTGGTTCCATTGTATCCTGGGCTGATTAGAGTCCATGGACTCGTGGAATAAAGGTAGTCCTTGCTTAACGACCACTCATTCAACGACCATTCAACATTTCAATGGTGCGGAACGAGACTTATGACCGGTCCTCCTATTTGGGTCGTTGCAGCGTCCCTGTGGTCACGTGATCATGATTCGGTGCTTGGCAACCGCCCAATTATGACACGGGTACAAGACATGGAATAGCTGGCTCCAGGGCTGGCCCTAGAGCAGTGTTTCTCAAACTTGGCAACTTTAAGATCTGTCATGCTGGGTGGGGAATTCTGGGAGTTGAAGTCCACAGGTCTTAAAGTTGCCAAGTTTGAGAAACACTGCTCTAGATATTTTGTTGCCCTAGGCCAGGGTTCCCCAAAATGGTCAATATGGACCCCCAAGGTGGCTAGCAGTGAGGCAGTGTTAGGGTTGGATGGTCAGACGCCAGCAAGAGCGCCCTTGAGTTGTCTCTACCAGCTGTGTGTTGTTACTGGCCTTCTTTACAGCGTGCTTTGCATTGTGGGTCTGTGACCTTCCACCCTGCCCCTTGTCTCTCTCCTTTCCCATCCTGCGAAGGCCATATGTACGTGTAGTATTCCTGTTCACCTCCTGTACTGAGCGTACTCCCCCACCTCACCAATCTCCAACCAAACATCAGTGCCCTTGTTGATGTTCATCAGATGTATCATTCCCATTAACGATATCAACACTTTCAGTAACAAAGGTATGTTAAATCTTATATTTTTCATATTTTAAACATAACCTTTTATGGTCATCATTATCTATTATTCATAGTATTATTAAAGTAGTATTTATTAAATTATTTTCATATAATAAATGTTTGTCAGTTGATGAACAATCTGAAACTTCATGAAGGGGTCAATGAGCTGAAGGATTTGGGTTTCCCTTGGGCAAAGTCAGATTCTGGCATCCCCTATGCATATGGTAACAATTCTGCAGAATTATATTTAACCCTCAAGTTAAACAGTGTGCCGTTACCACTTTTCTGGCTATAACTTTGATAAGCTGATAGTGACGCAACTCGCTCAGTACCTTTCTATCAGACCTTGGTCTTGCTTTGGTTAATATTCTCAGCTTCCTGAGGTCCATAGCTGCAATCATTTCTTTTTGGTGTCTTGCAATGTCTGGGTAGGGCGCTATCCATGGCCACTCGACTGACTTTGTGTTTTTGAAAAGCATAGAAAGAAAAAGTTCTAGGTTTTGGTCACCACAATACAAGAAGGAACTGGATGGCGAAGGGTGTGGAGGCTAGATCCTATGAAGAACGATTAAAAGAATTGGGGATGTTTAGCCTGAAGAAGAGAAGGTGAAGGGGAGACATCATAGCAGTCTTCTAATACTTGAAAGGTCATCACAGGGAAGAGGGTGTGGATTTATTCTCCAGAGCTCCCAAGGGCAGGGCAAGAACCAACTGGTGGAAATTTTACGGAGGGAGACCCAGAGTAGAAATAAGGAGGAATTTGCTGGCCATGAGATCTATTAAGTAGAGGAACAGTCTGTCTCTTGGAGTTAATGGGGCTGCATCACTGGAGATTTTCAAGCCAAGGTTGGCCAGCCATTTGTCTGGGATGGCCTGACGATTCTTGCTCTCAGCAAGGAGTTGGACTAGAGCAGTGTTTCTCAAACTTAGCAGCTGGCTGGGGGATTCTGGGAGTTGAAGTCCACTCCTCTCCAAGTTGCCAAGGTTGAGAAACACTGGATTAGAGGTTCTTCAGGATCTCGGACCTCCAGGTTCTAGGAATATCCTAGTGGCAAGGCTGTTAAGAAGTCTGCCTCAAATTGGTGGTCTTTCCTTACTGGCAGTCTTCCAATAATTTATGGTCTTCTGGGTTGACTGTAAGATGGTTTGTAAATCCAAAGTAATGCTTCTCAAAACTAGGGATTTACTTTTGATTCTGTTTCTCAGAAGAGTTTTAAAAAAGCAAGCCAAAGAATAGACACGTAAGTTATATTTGTGCACTTCCTAAACCAGTTTCCTTAACCATGGCTTACCATATTCCAGTTGGATGAGCTCATGCAACATCCTTACCCATAAGTCATAGCTTACACATCACAACGGCTAATTTTACAGAACCCACAAAGGTGACAACCAGCACACAGTGGTAAAGTTGCGTGATGGTTGCCCCCATTCAAAGCCACACATTGAGACTCTTTGCAATTTTGGGGAGATGCAGTTTTCTTGGGAACCAAAGGAGCATTGTATTTTTTATGTTGGACAGTCCTAAATCATTCACAGAGACTAAGAAATGAGATATTCTCTGCCTAATTAAGTCTAATCCACAAAGCTGGAAATGGAAATGCATGGGAAAATCCTTAGGGTGCTCTGCCCTCTGGTGGTGAAAGGAAGTAGTGCACACCCAGTAAAATTTTGTAGAAGGTGCCAATTAATTTTATTACAGTATTTGCTAGATGGATATCCTGCCTTTTTTTCAGGGGTTTGCAATGACATACATAGCATTCTCTCTCTCTTTGCTTTACTCTGTAACAACAGCCCTTGGAGGTAGGCTGGGCCGAGAAAGAGGGCCTAGCCCAAAGTCTCCCAGTGAATTTCTGGGGCTGAAAGCAAACTTGAACTGATCTCCTGATTCTAGTTCAGCACACAAAATTGCTCTTTTCCCCTTTATAGCTACTTCACTCATTTTGCACCACCAAATCAGCCCTGCTGAATCTGGATGCCAGATTTGGAGTGCCGTGTGCTTCTCACGCTTTGGACCTGCTTATGTGACATACTCACCTGCGTGTGGTGTGAGCAATTCCTTTCCTTGGGGATGCGACACTCAGCAACCCAGTGAGCTAAAAGCCAACCTTCCCCAGCAGGGAAACGGGATCCCAGCCCCCTGGGAATTGCAGAATTGCTCTGCTTGGTTGGGCCAGGGACTGGAAACGGGTTGGGCAGAAGGAAACCAAGCCCCAGATGCCAACCCAAATTTTGGTAAATATGGTTGAAACTAGCCAGCCCCCTTTGGGGTTAGGGTGCTGCGTGAAGCTGGCCTTAGGAACAGTGCCATGAGGAAACTGGTGCTAGAAAGGTAGCATTGGTGAACTGATTAACTTGGAGTGGAAGGGTTGGAAGTCTAGCCCCATGTCCAGCACAGGAAGTCACTACTGCAATTCCTGACAAATGCCCACCTAGCCTCTATTTAAACACCTCCAGCTCTTCCCATTAGGAAATTCTTCCTGATATCCAGCTGACATCTACCTGGCACTTAAACCCTTTGTTTTTTGTCCTGCCTTCTGGAAAAACAGCAATTCTTCCCTGTCTTCTGCATGCCAGCTCTTTGGATACTTGAAGGCAGCTACAACATCTTTTCTTCAGGCCTCCAACCTTTCAGATTGTCCTTCATCACCTGGGCTGCTCTCTTTGAGGTATCCACAGGATCCAGGGCATCATCAAGACCAGGGTTTCTCAATCTCAGCAACTTTTAAGATGCATGGACTTCAACTCCCAGAACTCCCCAGCCAGCCATTGCGATAAAATAGATTAATACATTCTCCAAAAGACTTTTCACTTCCACTAAGGAATTACACGGAGCATTGAAACACCAACTTTTTGAGGAATGACTTGTAACTGCACACGTCCAAGATTTTTCACCACAGGATGGTCCCTCTGTCTCAACTGTGTGAGATACTACAGTGGGTAATGATATGGTACCTTCATTGCTTGCACCTGGGAAAGCAAAAATGCGGATAAGTCTGTTGAAAACTGGTGGGGGACAGGGCAACCCAAATTTAGGAAACTGGTGGATTTGTGTGGATTTGTGTAAGTCTAGAAAAGAGAACATCCTGCAACGTAAGCTGATGACGAGTTGTGCTTTGCCAAGCTGTATTGTGGTGGAGAAACAACCGGCAATCCAAGCAATTTTTTTTGGTTTTTCCTCTCTAAATTGAACTCAGAGTGGTTTGTCACCTTACCTTTTCCATGTGACCGGAAGCCCAATTCCTGTAGCGCTAACCCTGTTGTAGCATTCTCTTAATGTGACCAAGACAAACTGACTCCCCAAACCACTGGAAAAACAGGCCCTTCTCTGACTCGCACCACCATTTAATCGTCTTCTAATTACATCCCAAGACTCTGCTAGCTTAGAACTAAATTGTGTGCTTCTTAAGATAGTCCTTGCTTAACATCCGCTCGTTTGAAGTTACGACAGCTCTGAACAAGGGTGACTTACGACGGGTCCTTGTAGTTGCAGGCGTCACAGCGTCCCCAGAGTCACGTGATTGCAATTCAGGCGCTTGGGAACCGGCTTGCAGTTATGACGTCGCAAAGTTCGTGGTCACAATTTGTGACCTCCTCTGCTGGGTTCCAACAAGCAAAGTCAATGGGGAAGCTGGCAGGAAGTTGCAAATGGTGATCACGTGACTGCAGGACACTGTGACTGTGCAGGATTCACCCAACAACAGCAACTGGGGTTGTAAGTTGGTGCAGTCATGTGATGTTGTGTTTTACGACCGTGTCATTTAGCGACGGAGTTCTCAGTCCCAATTACCATGGGTAAGCAAGGACTACCTATACAGAATGTACAACTCTCTTGGGAAACAGGAGAGGATGTCTCAGGTCCCTCTGAGGATCGCTTAGTTAAGAGGCACATCAATCAGAGACTTTGGGGAGTGTTTACAGTTCACCATCAGTGGGTGTAGAGTTTTAGAGCAACAAAAAAACCAAAAATGTCCGGGTACCCATCCTGGAATTTCCTCCTTAGGCAAGGAATTCCAGGGTAGGGTTGGGAATCCATCATGCAATCAGAAGAGAGAAAACAGATGTTAATTTGAAGGGAGACAATTAGATTTGGGCACAAATATGGTGAAAGATTTTTTTTTTTAATGCTCTGACCCGAAAACTGCTACCTAGGTTGCAGTACAGTTTAAGCCAAGCTCAGGAATTGCTACAGAGAAGCAGAGTACCAAATGTACATTTCTGTTTCTAAAAAAAAAGACATTCTTTCCAGGTTTACGGGCAGGTCCGTATTCAGTCCCTCAAAGCAGGTTCAGGAGCTCTGCTTCCCCAAAATCTGCCTACTTTTCTCAAGCAGCTTTAAAAAAAAGTCACCGCTTAAAAAACAACCCTAAATTCAGTTTTCTCTGGCTGGCGGCGAGTGACCCAGTGCCCTGGCAAATGAGACAGATCAAGGAACCGAGGAACTTGGCCAGGGCGGAGGAGACTTTAGAAACTTGGGCCAAAGTTTTCTACAACGGCATTCCTACTGAAGCAACAGCATCCCGCGGAAATACGAAAAACAGAAGCGTTTCTAGATTCGCCCACAAAGGCGGCTGATTTAAAAAAACAAAAGGCTGGAAAGGAATCTCAACCTTGGCAGGACCTGATTCACATTAAGAGGCATGCCAACCTGGAACCTAAACATTTTTCTATATCCTGATTTGTCCATGAGGAAGGGGAGGGGAAAGGTGCATTTCTTAATATCTTTAGCTCCTGCCCCAGCATTCAAATTTCCCATTATAAGCCGACTCTTCCATCACGGCTAATGACAACGGAATTTGTTTTAAAACACTTGACTTAAATATATGGGTATGGTGCAGTGATTGCCTTCTACGATGAATTGACCAATCACCCCTATTCTCCCACAGATGCAACTAATCGCAGAACTATTGCTATGTTCTAGATCTGTGTCTCTCAACCTTGGCCGCTTTAAGATGGGTGGACTTCAACTCTCAGAATTCCCCAGCCAGCC